AGAGAGAGAGAGAGAGAGAGAGAGAGAGAGACAGACAGACAGACAGTTTGGACGGGCAATCATGACAACGAGGAATTGCGGCAAGACATGCTTAGCATGAAGTGCAGAGAGATTTGAGGGGGGAAAAAAACAAAAGATACAGCGACACAAACTGGAGACGAAATGAATATCAGCCGAGAAACAAGAGCATGTCATCAAGAAATAAATCAATGATAAACGAAATTAACGCACGACGACCAGCAATCGCCGGAAGAATTTAGGCAAGAAAATTAGGCACGCGTATCAGGACAATGTAACTGCGAAGAATACGTCGTGAAAGCAGCTATCCTCGAAATGAACCGACATGTTTTTTTCTTTTTAAATTCGACCATCTCGTCGGTGCATGACAGGCAACCGGCAATGTTTTCGCGAAGGTACAAAACACACTTGCTTCAGACCTGATGTAAACTAACTAATCAATCTATCAATAAATAAATCGCGAAATAAATAAATCAGTAAATCAACAACTTAATAAATCAATCAATCATATGATCTTATCAATCATACCAAACGTATAAACAACTATGCATCGACTCAATCAACAACAGACGAATCAGCAAAACAAGGATGATCCTGACGGGCTTCCCGTTCCTCGTGAGCACTTTGACCCCAGTCGATCAATCAAAATTATGAAGCGGCGATAACCTTGACGGGCTTCCCGTCCCTCATGAGCACCTTGACGGTCTCCCAGGTGAAGTCGGGGTCGTCGCGGCCGAAGTGTCCGTAAGCCGCCGTCTTCTGGAACCTCTTGTTGCCTCCGCGATTCAAATCGAGAGCTTGAATGATCATTCCCGGTCTGAAGTCGAAGTTCTCCTTGATTATGTCCAGGATCTCCTGCTCCGACACCCTCCCGCTCCCGTACGTGTCCACGAACACGGACAGGGGCTCGGCGACACCGATGGCGTAAGAGACCTGCACCAGACAGCGGCGAGCGAGCCCCGCAGCCACAACGCTCTTCGCCGCCTGACGCACGATGTACGCCCCGCTCCTGTCCACCTTCGTCGGGTCCTTGCCGCTGAAAGCTCCTCCGCCGTGGGCACCCCACCC